TCTCCAGTCTCAGTTGTTACAGCACGATCTTGAGATTGTGTGGAGAAAGAGACAGATGGAAACACCCGCCTGTGTAAATGGAGGCTGAATCTGAAGACTCTGTACCAAACCAATTTAAATGCAGATGTGAAACCTGTGAAATGTGTCTCCGGTGTAAAAAATGAAAATCGATTTTCTCATCAGCCTGGAACTTCTTTGGCATTAAAAGGGCTCTGCAGTCCTCACTCCTGATGGAGGCATCTGTGATGGTCAGTCGCACAGTGTCATGATCCATCTGCGTCGACCCCGTCCTGTCCCTGTCTGACCAGCAGATGTCACTGCTGGCCTTCCTGTGCCATTTCATTGGCATCTATCCCAGCTGTTTCTCATGCCTTGATATGTCATTATTGTTATGGCCCACACCTGCCCCTCGTGAATCCTCATTAGCAGTGTTCACTAATCCTGACACTGTAGCATGTTGTGAGTCTGAGCGCTGTGCAAGTTCACATAAGGACCTGCTCCCCTCTGTAGTTTCCTTAATAAAGTCTCCTTCGGGGGTTTCCCTGCGCAAAGACTGCCTCTGGGGTTTGTACTCCTCCTCACCACTATGGACACGACACACAGGGTAAGATTTCAGCGGCCGGATGCTACACAAAGTGTCAAGGTCTGCTGGAAGGGTAATGCTCATCAGAGGGTTAATACTCATCAAGAGAGATAATACTCATCAAGAGGGATAATACTCATCAAGAGAGATAATACTCATCAAGAGGGATAATACTCATCAAGAGAGATAATACTCATCAAGAGGGATAATACTTATCAAGAGAGATAATACTCATCAAGAGGGATAATACTCATGAAAAGGTAAATACTCATCAGCGGGGAAATGCTCATGAAGAGGGATAATACTCATCAAGAGGGATAATACTCATCAAAAGGGAAATATCAGCGGGGAAATACTCATCAATCAGGGGGGGAAATGCTTATCAGAGGGATAATACTCATCAGAAGGGAAATGCTTATCAGAGGAAAGGAAAAGAAAAAAGGAAGAAAAAGAGGAGGGGAAGAACAATAGGAAATAATAGAGACTAAGAAAAGGAGAATCAGAAGTTGTAACAGAGAATTGATAAAAGAAAGAAATTTAGAAAGTGCTGTCAGTGTAGTGCATGTTTTTATTACTGGTTTCTCCTCAGTGGCAGAGGGAGGATAATGGAATGGAGTCTGGGTGGGGGGGGGGGCGCTTTCACTGCTCACTGTACAGAGGTCAGGAGTGTGTGAGGACATGAGGCGTTCCTAGATGCTTGTCTTTCCTGTCTCTTGCGTAAAACATGTGGTCTGTGTTAGCATATTCCCACAAACCCTCACTCATCTGTGTGTGTGACATCAGCTGGCCACTGTTAGTCAGTCAGCCACAATCCACACTGTTCCTCCTCAGTCCAAGGTTCAGCTTTCGAGCAGCTTCCTGTCCAGTGCTCTTTGCCATGGAAGCTGAGCAGTGTGAAACTCCTATACACATACAGCTTCCTGTCCAGTGCTCTTTGCCATGGAAGCTGAGCAGTGTGACACTTCTATACACATACAGCTTCTGGTTGCAGTTTTTAAAGTAGGGACCACCACTCTTGCTTTATAATTCAGAGGTTATATCAAGCAAGCCTCCTGCAGAGGCCTCTGGGCAGTGCAGCCCCTTCAGCTGCTGTTAGAGACTCTCATGCACCAGCAGCTTCCAGTAGCGCCCCCCCCCCCCCCCCTGGTGAGAGGGTATCACCTCTGGGTCATGGAGTTCTTCAAAGTGTTCCTTCCACCACGCGACAGAGTCAGTGAGCCTGGAGGATTCACCTCCCTGTCCTGATGTGTTGAATGGTTTGGGTCACTGTGTGTCCTCCCCAAAGTCTTTACACGCACTCCATTCTGCAGTATAAATACCTAATAAATTATGATCCTGAAATGCTGATAGAAAATGCACCTTGCATCCTGGACTCTGATGCTTCCATAAACACTCACTTGTATTTGGGTTTAGTGTTTGCTCTGGGCTTAATCCTCCTGACCACAAACCTAGTTTATCTATTGGTGTGTGGGGGGGATTCACTGTTGTGCAATTTGGCAGCATTATGCAGGAATAGTGTTTTTACATTAGGGGGCATGTAAAATGGCTCCATTTTCCTTCTGTCTTATACATCTATGCTGAGCTGTCATCAGGCCCAGTAACCACCATGAGACAGCAGCCTGTACCATTGCAGACACACCAGCATGACCATTGCTGTTGTCATGTTAAATCATTGCTCAATGTTTTTGATCAACGCTCCTCTGTTTCAGGCACTAAGTACCTGAGCCCTGGATGTACTTCAGCTGTCTCCTTTTGCTCAGGAAACTCACTCATTAAAGTACTGATTGTCAGACACATTTTCTAGCTGACACATCATCCTAAGATAACGCACTCACTCCGCACCTCAGTCCTTTCACATGGTTTTTCCTTTATTTCACCCAGCTCGTGTACTCTCTCTGACTCTCTCTGATGTTTTAGCATTTAATTAATATAGCTCACATTTTATTTTTCTGGTAACTTTTCCTGTTTCCTCATGCTCGTATTCCTGGGAAGCATGACTCACCTGATGAGTCACCTGATGACTCGCCTGATGACTCATCTGATGACTCACCCGATGACTCACCCGATGACTCGCCTGATGACTCACCTGAATCCCTGGTAAGAAGCTCCGCCTGCCTTGCTGCCTCCACCAGGCCAAGCAGCTGGTGTAGCTCAAAAGCTTCCAGTTGCTCTTCATGCTGTTTTTCATCAGGGTCAAGAACCTCTGAACTGGGATGTCACTGGTCTGGGCATGGCTGTCAACAGCACATCATGTTTTCACATATTTAAATCTAGTAGTTAAATCTATCATTGAAATACCAGTAATCTGATTAGCTGCCTTTCTGACATAATAGTTGTGAAGGTTTCAATCAGTAAACTACCTTGATTATTGGATTACTGACACTAGCCACTTTCACTGCAAATTGTGTTGCGGGGCCACCTGCTGACAAAGTGCTGAAATAGCAACAGGTGACAAATTACTGCAACAGCAGGTTTACACAGGTTTCTTTATCATGGGGCAAATAAAGAGCCATAGAAGTAACGCCAATGTTATGAGAACCCCCCCCACCACCACCACCACAAATGTCTCTGTGGATTACCCCTGCGTACCAGTCACCAGAAACACTGGGAATAGCCTGATAACGTACTTTGCAGAAACATATCCCAAAAGATATCATAAATATTAAATAAAATGTAAAATTAAATAAAAATCCAATTTTGTCCATGAATGTCAAACCTTCATATCCAGTGCAGGGTCCTGGACAATAATGACTTGCCATTTGTATAAGTACGTATGTTATTCTCCCATGAGGCAATTAGACACGGGTTAGAGCAGAACACGAGGGCAGACATTCTCCTGGGATCTTTGCAGGATCTCCGGGGGGGAGGGGGGGGGGCAATATGACCCAAAATTATTATCATGGCATTTTTCACTTTTTGTATGGTGACAGTGTTATATTACTGAATTGCATTTCCTGTCCCTTTCTGTAAATCGAAAAATATTTTATAATACATTAAGTACACTTCAATTGTCAAATTAATATTTGCTTTATAATTATCGGAGTAACGGTGCAAAACCACAGTAAAGATAGTTTGTAGTCAGCGGTTCGGGATTCCATTTAATTTACCTCGACAGTGCAGTAAGATACACTGGTAAACAGAGTGGCATTTTGTTACTTGTGATTTGTGAATTCGGATGACGTCACCCCCCCACCCCCCAAAGTGTGCCGACATTATACTTTGCCTTTTTATTGTCAAATGCAAATAATAAAAACCTTCCCCATATAAGCAGGTCCAGGCTCATTCTGACCAGTCTGATTTGTGAATTTTTTCCCAGTGCCCAGTCTGCCAGTGACTGATAAGTGCGTGAGGCAGAAGGGGTTAAAACAGCCTATTTCCAAAACTCCGCACTGCATTCCTGATAGACAAATGCTGATCTGTGAAAGACACATTTTTGTATGTAATATAACATGTTTTTGCACATTTATTTATTTATTTGTGCACACTTCACTTCATTGAGCTCTATGGCTAATTGTAATTGCAGGAAATCTAATAGCAAATCACCTAAAAAGTGACCCAGAAGGACCAAACTTGCACGAAAACTTCTACAGAGAAGGATCTTGTTCATAAGTGACGGTAAGAGGGAATGTGACACTTTCCATTTTGCGAGTTCTCTACCTGCCTCTCCTTGCCTAAGTTGATGCACTGTGTGTAAGGACTGTATACTGCCGGTTGCCGATACAAGTGACCAAAATGAGCTGTTTTTGGCTTTTTATAGGGATGCTATCTTGAAAGCTGATGGGATGCTGCTGCAAGCCAAGTCCATTGGCCACAGCCCCCAGGGAGCCCCCAGGAGAGACCCTGCACAAGCTGGAGGGGCTGTATCTCCGGATGCCCAAGAATGAGCTGGACTTTGTGGCCATGAACAAAGACTCATCATGCTGCCACTGCAGCTCTTGTGGGAAACTTATGATGATCAACATTTTAAACAGGTATGTTTCCCTGTGTAGCAACATGGAGCATAGCACTGTTGCTACACAGCTCTAATGCCGTTGGCTAAGATTCAATCTTAGATCTATCTGTAGATTTAATGTGCTCTTGCTTCACAAATACAAAAAAGTGACAATAAAGATAACTGCTTTCCAAATGGCTACAATTAGCAGAATCAATCAGTCTATATTTGGCCTTGCACCTAATGCTGACTTTTACTCAGGCAGATTGAGTTAGTTTGATGTTTCTTGATTCGTACTTTGCATAAAGCAGAAATGGGAGTTCATTTATCTCAGAGTGAGGTGAATTCACTTCCTGTTTCCTGTCAGAGACAGTCGTATGTACCTACTCACAGTGTATTTTATATGCTATTCTGTTGATCCATTTTTGTTTCTGTTACATTTGCTGGTGTTTGGAAGTATGATTGTTTAATATGCGCTAGTTCTGGGGTGATCATTTCTTCCAAACGTTTATGCACATATACTCATTCATAAATTCTGGGCAAGATAAGCTTGTGCAAGCACATGGTAAAATGCAGATCAGTTTAAGCTGAAAGCTGTGGACTGTGGCACAGGAAGAGAGAGAGACACCCAAAGCACAGGAAGAGGTGTAGCTTTTTGAAGCATGAGCGGAGCAGAGCTGTCTTTCAAAAAAGGTTCTTTCCTTTTCTAAGGTTTTGGCTTCGCTGCAGCAGCAGCCTGTGCTTTGTGGGCCACGCTTTCATACAGTCTGCATCTAGGCAAAACATAGACTGCTACTCTTCCTAGTATCAGAGGGAGACATTGAAAGAGGTTAGTCTTTAAAAAACAGGGTATTAAACTGTCTAGAAGGAAATAAAACAGTCAAACTTTTTATCTCTGAATATCTAACTGGAAACTGCTCCTTGTGTCATCCATTGGATTGGTCAACATGACTCTGTTGTTCATCTGGGTGAGTTACAGCTTTTTATTGTATGGTGTGTAGGAGATTGATACATTTTTAAATCTATTACAGCATGATATTCTGTCTGTAGAATGTTGTGTGCTTCATATAGATGGATTCCGTACAATTGAACACAGTCAAGTTGATGTTAAGTTGGTAAGAGACATACACAGAAACTTTCTTGGAAGTGGGAGGATAAATATCCACATGTAAATTCATAAAGCTGTCCTTGCAGACTATGTGTTTCTCATTGATGATTCTGTTATACCTCTGAATCACATGCATATGATCAGAAAAGACAGAGAAAGTCTATATGACCAGCAGAAGGGTGTTGCCATTTGTTCTAATTCTCTAGACTCAGAGACCAGTAGTTATAGCGGACTCAGTGATAGCAGACCCAGTAGTGATAGCAGACTCAGTGATAGCAGTAGTGATAGCAGACCCAGTGATAGCAGTAGTGATGGCAGACCCAGTGATAGCAGTAGTGATGGCAGACTCAGTGATAGCAGTAGTGATGGCAGACCCAGTGATAGCAGTAGTGATGGCAGACTCAGTGATAGCAGTGGTGATAGCAGACTCAGATAGCAAAATACAAATTATACAATACAAATTTATGCAGAAATAGATTTTACCACAGTATAGGCTCATTATGCAAATTATAGACTGGACACATTGAGCACAGTGTGCAATGAGCACTGCTAAAAAGATACTTAAGGAACGTAAATATGCTTTACATCACCCTCGGCTGTAAATTACATTTTGCCAAACAAATGAAATATGAAAAAGGAAAATAAATAAAAACAAAGCAAAATATAAACAGTGACTAAAGATTAAGATGTGCACTTTTCCTGGGGGGGGGGGGGGGGGGGGGGGAGGGGGTGGCAAGGTGACCTGTAAGGTGGCCTTGAATTTCCAGCGTCTAGCTTGGGAGCAGTAAATGAATCCAAATTACCGTAAGTACTGGGTGTGTATCTCTCCCCAGGTTCCTGCACCGCTGACTGATGGTGTATATTCTGCTCATCTAGTTTTTATTAATAATACATTTTACTGTATATTGCATATAAAATAAGCCAAAACATAATCTCAGGAAGTTATGTGCTCAGCTCTTTGGGCCTGTCTTAGCCTCCCATACATTTTCTGAGACTTATTTTTGAGACCATTTTAGAAATTAATTACAGAAAATCACTTGTTGATGATCTTGTTTATATGGGTGAAACCAATAAGGGAAGATGAACAACAGCAGATTTAAGAAGATATTTTTAGTTACACATTTCATTGTTAAATGTAACTCCACAAGTGTTAATGATGGGTCATAGTATATTCTCTTTTTAGTGCAGATTAACTATACAATCAATATAAATGATATACATTAAATCAAACATAAATCCAAAGTTTTTTCAAAGACAGGAAGCTGGTCAGTTACACATGATATTCCCAAAATGATAATGGCAATTTTAACAAGTGATCTGGGTCTTTGATTAGAAAGTCATCAACCTTCGATTTGAAATACAATGATCTCCCGCTATATCGCAGATTTTTCTTTTGCTTGTGGTCCGATTGTTGTGAGCAAAATTTGTGAACTTTTCATTTTGATTTAAGCCCTACGATGGGTCCCAAACGTCCTGCATCTTCTAAGCTTTCTGGTAGTAGTGAGCCTAAGCGCCAGAGGAAGACCTTGGCCATTTTTACATATTACATTTTATATATAGATAGAGATGTGTGTGTGTGTGTGTGTATATATATATATAACTTCCAGCGATAGGCGGTTGATCACTGTATCAGTGTCACACCAGAATATAATTTGTTCTGCAGTCTATCAATGTGCTTTAAACTAACAAACAGATACTGTATATATCCTCCTGAGACCCAAGGAAAAAAGTGTCCTTCAATTTTAGGTTATTTGTCTTTGGAGGAAATAAGACATCTTACAATGTAGTTTTTTTTCAAAGTTATTTTTATTTTTAATTTCACAGCATGTCCTCTTTAGTGTACAACAGGAATAAATACGTTTCCTAACATCAGTGAAAACATAGATGCAAAAACAAAATGTGCACTACGATGGACATAAATGAATGGGTGGGGTCTCAGGAGGATAGATAGATAGATAGATAGATAGATAGATAGATAGATAGATAGATAGATAGATAGATAGATAGATAGATAGATAGATAGATAGATAGACTTCTGCAAACAGTGAATATAGTATTATTTCGACAATATTCATAAATGTCAGTAACAGAAAGTTACCATAAATGTGAATTTGAATCAGTAGCTCTGAAGCTGACGTTGTTCTGGTCATAGAAGTATTGCTATTTCCAGATTAATATATAAAAGCAGGAGAATCTACATAGACATGAAGTCAAATACCTCAGTGGCTTGGTCAGGACAAACTCGGATAAAACAGCCACTGCACACCGAGTCATCAAAAAAGTGAATAAAAAAATACATCCAGGCCTGTGGTTCACTGACACCTATTCAGGCATGCAGAAATAATTCACGTTCTCAGTGCTGTATTTAAAACAGGGATTACTTCCAGGGGAAGCCAGGAGACAGGGGCTCAGACTGGCCGCCTGCTGCAGTATGTAGAGCACTGCAGGAGAGGAAGACGCACACTGCATCATACCGAGACCACATCCAGGCCAGCTAGACGGCGAATATCTGCACTGACTGACATGTACGTGTCTTTCCAAAATCTTGCATGCTGTGGTTTTGAGATGTGAGAATCAGAGGTGGCTCTGACACGAGCTGAACGGTACTAGCATTTTCCTGCTTTTATAACACAGACTGTTATAATAGTGCTTAGTTAATAATAGTGTTGTGTTTGAGAAAAGGAATTTTCATTTTCAAATTTGCATTTAAACTAAGAGGATAATTTCTCATATGGGTACATCATGGGGACTGGCATAGTGGCACGGCGGTGCAGCGTTACGGCGGTGCAGCGTTACGGCGGTGCAGCGTTACGGCGGTGCAGGTCTCCGCCTCAGTGGCGTGTTTGTGGAGTCTGCATGCCCCCCCCCATTGTCAGTGTGGGGTTTTCACTGGGCTTCTCCAGTTTCCCCCCACAGCCCAAAACCAGGGTGCATGTGCATGTGCCCTCTGATGGGTCGGCGCCCCACCCTGGGTTACCTCCTACCCTGTGCGGGGTCCAAAACCCAGCATAGCACATGTGGGTCCAGAAAATGCGTGGATGGACTTCAGTGTGTCTGAATTAGTCATGTGAGTGAGCTGAAAACAAATTTAAATATAAAATCAACAACATAATAACAAATAATGTTATAAAAGTCTCTCAGGTGTACACCACTAAGGAATCTGTGGTACACAGCTCTGCATCTGAAGGTCATGGGATCAAATCCCAGGGCCAGTAGAGTGTCTTCGCTGTTAAGGTCCCTAACCCCCTGTAGCTTCAGTGATTGTCTGCCCCAGCTTTCTCAATTGTAGAGTACTTTGGATAAAATTGTCGGCTAAACAATGTTATTTACTAATTCAGAGTGGGTAATTTGCGTGTACCGGAAGGACTGCCATACCAGAACCATCCCCGTAGAACCCAGGCGTGTACCGGAAGGACTGCCATACCAGAACCATCCCCGTAGAACCCAGGCGTGTACCGGAAGGACTGCCATACCAGAACCATCCCCGTAGAACCCAGGCGTGTACCGGAAGGACTGCCATACCAGAACCATCCCCGTAGAACCCAGGCGTGTACCGGAAGGACTGCCATACCAGAACCATCCCCGTAGAACCCAGGCGTGTACCGGAAGGACTGCCATACCAGAACCATCCCCGTAGAACCCAGGCGTGTACCGGAAGGACTGCCCCAGGCGCCTGGCCCACCAATTTCAGCCTCAGTATAAACCACTACCAGTCAAGGTCATGTGATTGCATGACCATGTGATCGTATGATCATGCCGTCAGGGTTGGATCACAGTGGTCAGCAGGGTGTGGGTTAGTTTGGTGTCTAAACAGTGGCTATTGTAAAGGTTAGATAAATATTGTCAATCTATTTATGTATAAAATATACAAATTGGTTTGATGGAAATTCTGACGTATTGCCAAAAATTGTTTTGATGATGATTTAAAAAGAGGAAAAATCACAAAATGTAGGCAATCTTCATCTGAGTCACTGAGTTTAACGGCCGGAGAGTGTAATGCATCCTTATCATATAGTCTTATATCTAACATTAATTGTTAGCTCATTCAATACTTCTGTTACAACTGGTTTGTTTGTAATTGTCTTTTAATACCTATAATACATTGTTTCCCAACCTGATGCTCAGGAACTTGCAGACAGTCCATGTTTTTGCTCCCTATCAGCTCCCTGCCATACAGTCCACATTTCTTCCTAACGAGAGCTGGAGGAAGCAAAAGCATGGACAGTCTGCGTGTCTTTGCGGACCGAGTTGGCAAACACTGTTATAATGCAGTTTCTGGATGGAGTGGCACAGTTAGCTGCTTGTGCTGCATCCCATTGGTATGAGGTAAAGCAGCTGGTAGCTAATTATCACGAGAGCTACTGTAAAGCTTAAACTGAGCTTAAAACAGCAGATATTCGGATATAAGCTGGAGTAGAATATGGTGTCAGTCCTTTATCTACATTAAGATGCTAACATACATTAAGATGCTAACATATATTAAGATGCTAACACACATTAGCATGCTAACACACATTAGCATGCTAAGAAACATTAACATGCTAACATACACTAACATGCTAAGAAACATTAACATGCTAACATACACTAACATGCTGCTCCAAAATGGAATCACTGGCATTAGCAAGTTTATTGGTATGTTAAATATATATTTATATAACTATCATTAATAAGTTCTGAGATGCTTTGTACACTATCCGCCATTAAATTTCCACTATTGTTATTAAGAAAGGTGCCAAAGGACTGCCTGGGAGAGTCTGAGACAGCCTGTGATGGCGGAAGACGTTCTGAAAGATTTTGTTCTAGACGGCAAGAAGAGGATACCATGGGAGGAGGACTGTTACATAGACCTGCAGTCTGAGAGCTGCTCTCCGCGCACTAAGATGAAAATGGAGGGTAAATAAGCATTTCAAAATGTGAATTCCTGTCTGTCTGTCATTGTGTGTGGTGATGAACTGGGATTCAGTCCAGGGTGTACCTCTGCCAGGTGCTACATAGGATAGCCTCTATACCCTCACATACACATATACACACAAACAGACACACACACACAAACGGACACACACACGCACACACATACACACATATGCATACACGCACGCATACACACACTCATAAAGGTTCATGATGCTTTTCTTTGATGTATGATACACTCGTTTCTGTGGTGTGAAACATTTCGAAAGACATTATCTTTATAAATGATAATAGAAACAAACCTGATCTTAGCTGCTTTCACCGATGAAATGCACTGTGTGTCGCATCAGAGCTCTGGATACACAAGCATCGGAAGCAGCTGCTGCATTCAGTCTCCGGTCCATTGCTGGACAGCTTTGTGGGGCACATGCACAAAGTGGCCTTGCTGACTCAGGGCGAGGCCTCGCAGCTTCAGTCTGGGGGGCAGCTGCAGGAGAAGCTGTGCGCTGTCATCAACATCTTGGCCAGTAAGGGTCCCCAGGGCTCAGACATGCTGCAGGAGTTCATCGAAAACACGGATACCCAGCTCTATGGACTAATTACACTGCAAGGTAAGCAGCCGCCAAACTGATCTGGCTGTGATTTTAAAATTCGAATCATCTGCTGTGTGGTTTCTAAAGAAAGAAAGCTTTTGTCAGAAATGTGTTGGTGATCCATAGGATCGTAGGGCCACAGCTGAACTGCTGTGTATGTTAGCAGTATTATTAAAGTACTCTATAATCTCAGAAAAATAATCCTGTTTGTTTAAGAAGAATCTTCTTCATGCAATTTCAGTCTATTTTTCTGCTTGAGTGTAGAACCAATAATGCAGAAGCATGGAGAAGCTTTGCAGAGCTGCTGCAGTGGCTGGAGTACAGGTCTGCTGTCAGGGAGCTGGGCCGCCGACAGGTTCTCCAACTTGCTGCTGGTTGAGGGACTGACAGATCTACAGCAGAAGGAGCATGACGTCCTGCAGACTGAGGCCACCAAAGGCAGCTGGAGGCACAATGCCAGGCAGTTGTCACTGGACAAGCTGCTGAACCCCCTCACACGGGTCAGCATGCCCCCCCGCATCTTGCTCACGGTCGGAGTGGCTGGTATTGGAAAGACCACCTTGGTACGGCAGTTTCTCCAACTGTGGAACTCTGGAAAGATCTACCAAGATGTGAGTTTTGTCTTTCTCTTCAGCTTCTGGGAGCTGAACACATATGAGAAACTGTCAGCTGAACGCCTGGTTAGGCTGTTCTACCCCCATGTGACAGATATGAGTTACGTCTTCAACGACACGACTAGGGTCTTGATAATCTTCGACGGACTGGATGAGTTCAAGTGTTCGCTGGATTTCTCTGATGCACTGTCGTGCATGGACCCCAAAAAAGACGTCCCGGTTGATAATCTGATAACTAACATAATTCGCGGGAACATTTTCCCTGAAGCTTCTATCTGGTTGACATCCAGGCCGAATGTTGCAGCTCAGATACCTGGAGGACTTGTGGACAGAATGACTGAGATACCAGGGCTCAAACATGAAGACATACAAAAATTTCTTTTTCACATGTTCCAGGACAGAAGTCTAGCTGACCAGATATGGTGCCACATCAAAGCATACAAGATCTTTCTTGTCATGTGCTATGTTCCTTGTGTATGTTGGATTGTTGGTTCCACTCTTGGTTTCCTCATAAAAGGCGAGATGCAGGACTGCCTGCCTAGAACGTGGACTGAGCTGTACTCTTACTTTCTTAAGATGATTGTGGAGGGAGAATCAAAGGACAGAGAGCCTCTGAAAATAGAACAGAGCTACGGAAGCAGTCGGCGGCTAATCGGGAGTCTGGGGAAGCTGGCGTTCTATGGGCTAATCAAGCGCAAGTACACTTTCTACGAACAAGACATGAAGGCTTACGGCATCGACCTGCCCTCCCTTCAGAGCCACCCCTGCAGCCGCCTCCTGATCAAAGAGGAGTCAGTTACTTGCACGGCCTACAACTTCACACATCTGACCGTGCAGGAGTTTCTGTCAGCTACCTTCTACTACACAGCCTCCAAGCGAGCCATTTTTGACCTCTTCACAGAGAGCGGCATGTCCTGGCCTAAGATTGGCTTCAATAATCACTTCAAAAGTGCCCTACAGCGCTCACAGCAGTCAGAGTGCGGGCAGTTGGATATGTTTGTGCGCTTCCTGTCAGGCATGCTGTCGCCACTGGTAGCTAAGCCTCTGTCTGGGCTGCAACTTCTGGCCAAAGAGGAAAACAGCGCGTACCGAGCCCCAGCCATAACGTTTCTACAGAGCCTGCTTAGCTGCGGCAGCACGGTGTCTCTCTGGGCCGTCAACGTGGTGCACTGCCTGCAGGAGCTTCAGCACACAGAGCTAACGCGCAACGTGGAGGAGGGTCTCCGCACGGGCAGCCTGGCAGGGAAGCTGTCGGCCAGCACCTGCTCCATCCTCGCCTACCTTCTGCAGATGTCCGAGGAGTGCGCCGAAGAAACCAACCTTTCCGGCTGCCTTAGCTACTCTGTTGTTAAGAGTCTGTTGCCACAGCTGCTGTTCTGCAGCAATCTCAGGTAAGATCGGTGCTTCAGTGCGGTTCTACTGAAATTTATCTGCAGGGAAATTCGATTTATTGGTTACACTTTACTTGAGGGGCACAAATAATGGACTATTGCTAATGCTATTACTTATGTGTTAATTAACCACAAACTAAGGCCCAGTCATATACTGATCTCACACTCTTTCCTCTCATGAGACATGTTTTATCTCAAGCATTGAGATTACATTAACAGTCATTTGTTACTATGACTGTTAATTCTGTGAGCCTTTGCAAACTACTGAAGAAGTCATGAATAACACAAGTGAAATACTGATTTCATATTTGTTCATCATTAATGAATTGTGACACACCTTTTGTCTCAATTAGCTACTATTTTTGTTTGTGATTTGTTCTTCAGTGGTAACTGAGTTACTACTAAGTATTTGTGCCCCATCAAGCAAAGTGTTACTGGTTTATTTATAATTTTTTTGTGAGGAGGACCACAGCTATTTGGAATAACTTTTTTTTTTCCTTAAATCAATGCTTTGCGTGTATGTGTGTGTGTCTGTCTGTGTGTGCGTGTGTGTGTGTGTGTCGGTGTGTGTGGGTTTGCATAGATCACATTTGAGGACCAAATTGTCCCCAAAGTGTAGTAAAACCTGAAATGTCCTTACTTTTGGGGACATCTTTTGAGGTCCCCATTTGGATAACCTCAGTTTTATAAAAAAATATGTGAATGCAATCAAAAAAGTAAAAATGCCAAAATCTTGTATTTGGGTTGGTTACTTATGGTTATAAGGTTAGGGATGGGTAGAGGTTCAGGGTGTTGTGATTGGGATGAGGGTTTTTCCCATAGAAATGAATAGATGGTCCCCATTTCGATAGGAAGATCAACTTGTGTGTGTGTGTGTGCGTGTGTGTGTGTGTGTGCTCTGAGATGATCCACTATCCCATCCAGGCTTCCCCTGCCTGCTGCTCTATCCACCTTCACTCCTACCCCAGAACCACTGCGGTCCTTCACAGGATAAGCACTGTGAAAGATGGATGGATAAACAATATCATTTTTTTATCTTGCTATAAAATGGTCTTGATCACCTTTAATTGTACTAATTTGTATTTTAGACTTGAAAACAACCATTTTAAAGATGATGTCATGGAGTTACTGGGCAGCTTGCTAAGTGCGAAGGACTGTCACCTGCAGAGAATCAGGTGAGGTTTTCTTTTGGGGAGGGGGGGCTTCTGACCAGGGAGCCCTTCGCTACAGCAGATAACAGCAGTGTAAGTTATTGTGTTTGGAATTCTTAGCAGATTTCTCTCATCAGCAATGACAATGGATGACACAGACACTCCCAGCTGTGCCGTCTCACTCATTCCTGATTTCCATCGGTGGACTCCAAATGCAAATGCATTTGTAATTTTAACATGAATTTCTAAATTTCCTACAGATTTCCTTGAGTAAATAAATGATCTACTGCTGTTACTAGTTGCAGCAATGCAGGAATCCTGAAGTCTGGCCCTGCAGTGGTTCAGTTTTGGGTGTAGAACTTAGTAATGTCGCTTTATGAATAAACCTCATTATCATCGTTTAGTGTCCTATAGTAGGAAATCACAACATTTCCTATATCTGTCTCGTCAAATGTAAAATTGAAGAATCGTCTCCTCTTATAGCATATCTACACTCAGTACACTTGCATATTAATGCAGACATCCTGCTCCCCCGGACTGTGAGCCATGTGACCACAAACGAATACACACTGCACACATTCACGGCCAAGATGTTCACTTACTATTTGCCTAAGCATGCCTAACATGCAGCATCTATGTGACTTCGATTGTGGTGGTGTTCTTGGTGCCAGATATGGTTAGTTCCAGCATCGCGAAAACAAAAACAATAAATAAACTGAAACATACTAGCAGCAATCCTGTGTGTAAAAATACCCAGTTAATGAAGGAGGTCGGAGGTGAATGGCCAGAATTGGTAAAGCTAACAGGAAGACCACAAGTGTAACAATAACAGCTCAGTACAATGCCTTGCAGTGAGGTTTTTCAGAATGCATGACTCATCAAATTTTGAAGCAGTTCTGGAGGATAAATTGAGTTGTACTGTGGTCATTAAACTTTTTACACACTGGAAAAATTAGAGCGCTAATTCTTGATTTTATTTAAAAGAAAAAAGTAAAACAGTAAAGCCTTCACATTCGATGAACTTGACATTCGATGGTGTTGATGAACAATTAAACAGGAACATTTTTGGAACTTGCTGAAAGTTCACAGAAACTCGCTAATGATGAATAAGCCAAAGACAATACTGGAAATGATTTGAATCACGTAAAATCTTATATAAATATTAGTGTCACACAGGCCTGCATACTGTATCTTTGATATTAAAAGTCTTGGTTTGGCTACGTCGTGCATCTTTGTCTCGCTACCCAGACTTCGCCGTCTTTCTCTCCGTGGAATCTGGCAGTAACTTTTAAACTTTTCAGTGCTGTTACTTTTGCATTTTTAATAATGGGTCCAATATGCAGAGTTCCCAGTTCGTACAGCAGTACCGTTGTACATTCACGGGCATATTTAGATGGTTTGTAAATTATATAAAAATATCTAGAAAGGAAATGACAAAGTTATTTGACATGCATAGTGCACAGTGCAGTACTGTTTGTTCAGAGGTTGGTAATAAACAGACTTTGTAATCATTCAAGCTATCAGAATATTATGGGTGGGATCCCAAGTATTATTTGTGGATTTTCACATTCGCCGGACCTCCCCCCCCAAACCTTCGCAGATGTGATGGGGGTATTACTGTAACCATTATAGTGCTGACAACACTGGAAACAGAAACACAGATTTTTGCTGAAGTATAGTACATAGTACTAAGAGATGCTTAAAACATAATGATAAAACTTTGGAGGTCATCCAAAAGTATCAAGGGTCAAAGGTCAAACATGTACAGTAACAGTGAATTATTTGTAGTCCAAAATATGAACCATTTCTCCACGATAACAGGCTTTCTGACACCCTGACTTCAATGATCCTAGTGAGATTATGCTTTCCTTCATCTTGGTGAGAAATAATTTACTAAAAAATCTTGGTTAGAAAAAGGACTGAAGCCAAAAGTCATGTATCTATTGACGACGAATAATAGCGTCTGACCATTTGTATGTATGTGACTTTCTCTGTAGCCTAGCAGAGAATGCTGTGAGTAACAAGGGCACCAAGGCCATTAGCAGATCCCTGCTGGTGAACAGGAGCCTGACATCTCTCGAGTGAGTAAAGAACTTCCCTTTTCCTGCCCTTGTGATTCCTCTGGAGATGGAGGTGTTTAGCAGTGGAGTGCATATTGAGAGCCGGTCACTGAAGCGGAGTTTAACGCGCTGCTGTTGCCGTTAGTCTTCGCAGCAACAACATCGGCCCCAAAGGAGCAAAGTCTCTTGCAGAAGCCCTCAAGAACAACCAGGTCCTGGTCTCAATCAGGTGAGTGAGCTCTGCTGGGCGAATGCTGCATTTCCCACCCAGTCACTCTTCAAATTTTTCATTTTCCTTGTCGATATTTAATATTATAAACGACAACTTACACATAGAAGTTATACTGCACTTGTGCTTACAGCTATACTGAAATTTCTAGTTTTCTACGATTGTGATGTTTTTCAATGGCAGATGTCTGCACCAGTTCTGCATTGCCCGCGGTCTTCAGGAATATGAAATGCTTCTTATTTCAGCCTACAGAACAACGTCATTGAGGATGAGGGGACCAAAGCCTTGGCGGAGGTGCTGTTATGCAACCGCAAGCTTACTACACTTCAGTAAGTGGTGCATGACATCTATCCAGCAATCTGCCTACAAAGCTGTAGAACATTCCTCAGCGGCATGAGTCCTGAAGGCTGTGGATGATACATTTCAATTGACCCCAAATAATTCTAATAATTCCTTAAAGATCAGCTGAGGTCACGTTTTATCTTGAGGTATCTTCGGTTTTACAATGCTTGTAATTTGTGCAATGTTTTCTTCCAGTCTCAATGCGAAATGCCCCTAAACTTTTAACATTTTCTGCCCTTTCCTGCCACTACTCTCTTCCTTTTGCTCTTCCCTGTCAATGTTTTCCTCCATTCTTCCACACAGTAACGCGCGTCTCTTTGGCACTCCAGTTAAAATTGTCTGCGCACTGCTACACTCTTTGCGTGATTGTCACGAGGATCAAAAAGCAAGTAACGCAGGCAGAGAATGTATATTTTATATAGACACACACAAACACAGACACATTTTTCAATATGTCTCCAGCTTGCAGAAGAACTCCATCGGTTCCGAAGGAGCCAGGAGTCTTGCGGGGGCTCTGCAGAAAAACCAGGTTCTAAGGGAATTAAGGTAAGACTGCGATCATTCCAGCTCTGCATACTGCGTACCTTCATCACTGGAGGATAAAACCATACACGCGATCTTTAGAAAACGTATGACTGATATTAGATTTAGCAGTTCACAAAATGGAGATTCTACACGTGATTGGAAGCTCAGACCCCATGTCCGACAGAGTAACGTCACTGTTTGGCCCTGGAACGAAGGGCCCTTGTGTGTTTCTTTGGACAGACGCATCTGCTATGTAAATAAATGCAAGATATATATATGTAGTGATATATGTGACAAATGAAGTTCTCGCCACAGCCTCTCCAGCAACCAGCTTGGCGACAAGGGATCTGAAGCGCTAGCCCAGGCCCTCATGGTGAACCACAGCCTGATCACCTTACAGTCAGTGCTCAAGCTTTTTAATCCTCTTCTCCAGTGTTACCACAGAAGCCTGCAGCCGGGTTTGCGTTTTCTGACAAGCTTTGGTGTGTTTTTGTATTTACAGCCTGCAGAGTAACTCCATCAGCAACAAGGGCGTGACAGCCCTCACCAAAGCTCTGAAGATCAACAGGGGACTCGCCGATTTAAAGCAAGCGTCTCGCTACAAAAACACTCGCCATTGATGCAATCAACCTGCCGTCCGATCCAGCTCCTTCTAGAAAGACTGAGCTTTTCTCTCCTTTCTTTTCAGTCTTCGTGAGAACTCCATCGGGGTGGAGGGAGCCAAAGAGATCGCTAAGGCACTACAGACAAACGGCACACTCAAGAATCTAGAGTAAGTCTCTGACTGTTCTATGCCAGACGCATCAGATCAGTGTTTGCCAACCTTTTTCATTCGCTGGCCCACTTTCATAATTCAAAAAGTAGCTGCAGGCCACAAACACTTACACTGAAGTTTCATTTCATGTTATTAACAACCAGAGCACGTGAGCAGAGTGATGAGAATTTCCACTCATCCATTATGCTCCGGTCAGTTTTCATCCAACTCCAGTTAAAACGCTCACCGCTCGCTCCAAAACAGAAAGCAATCTGCACTGTATTTTAATTTTAGCTTAAACTGTATCCTGGCTAACTGAGCAGCCAAATCCACAATAAAGTAGAAGTTATTAATTATTAATTATGCTCTGTGCTTGCTCCAGCTCTGGCTAAAATGCTTCTGCTCTCGCTCCCACTCTCCTCTCATATGTCCTGCAATTATATATATATATGTGTGTGTGTGTGTGTGTGTGTGTCAGTGTTTCCCCCAGGTTTACAGCTTTGCGGGGGGGCAGACAGACGCCAACAAGATTCATGGTGTTCAGAACATTTCTTTTTATGACAATTATCCACAAAGTGTGCAGCCTTTGTCACTGCAGTGTATCTTTCTGGGCTTCTGGAAGAACATCTCTAGAGCCTCTTGATATGGATGGTCAGACACGTCTGGCCCATTTACTGAGATCTGCATGCAGGCTGCAAGATGGTCTCCTTGCAGCCTATTGCGGATGTTTGTCTTGACCTGCAAATACATTAACTGTTAGGCTTTATAAGTGATAGCTGATAGCTTAAAATAGTGATAGTTCTTCACTACCCTGGGAGCATTTAAAAAACACAGATATTTTTGTCTGCTTTTAAGGTGGTTGACGCGACATATTTTCCGACGCGCGAGTGTGCTCACCTGTGCGTGCGCGAACGTGTCTGTGCACGCGCATCGGGGCGGAACTCCGCCACGCGCGATACAGAGAGCAGACCGTGTAGAGACAAAAATGACAAAAAAAAAAAAAAATGACAAGCTGTTGTGTAAATAACATAAGGTTATTTAGTGTGTTTAATAAAAGGACAATGTATAGACCTGTTCTATAGGAAAGGTAACCTTAAATGACTTCTGCTGTCATCTGGCTGTGATATACACACACACACACACACACACACACACACACACACAGAGCAATGCCAATGAGCAAACACATCAAACCTGAAAGTCAACTTTATTTAGATATTTTCAGTGCTGTGTTGAAAGTACTGTTTTGTTTTGTTGTAAACATGTTCACCTGCCTCGCGAGAGGGCTGGTGTTGTAATCCAAACGTTGTAATGCAATACTCACTGCTCTTAAACTTCATTTTGCATTTTTAATAACGGATCCAAAACATTGCGCTCCCAGCAGTGCAGTAGTAACTTTGTACATACAGGGGCATAATCTAGATGATCTGTATACTATATAAGAAGGTCTAGATATAGGAAATGACAGAGCAAGCTGACAAAGTGTACGGTACAGTACTGTTTGTTTAGAAATCGGCAATGAATAGACTTTTATGTTGTTGTTCAGGCTAGCAGACTGTTTTGTGTTGGTTTTTTTTTGGGGGGGGGCAAGTATTATTTGCAAATTTTCACATTTGTGGGGATCTGCCGCCCCCTAACCCTGTGAAGGGGTTACTGCATTTTCTCCCTACCTTTCGTTTTCATTTTAATTTGTTTGCTCTTCATTGGTTTTATCAGATCTTTCCGTTTAAGCGATCACGCTGACCCACTTGCCGGGTTTAGCTTCCTATTAAGTCTCTCATTAATTGAGCTACCGAAGTGCACAGCTACATGTGCTGGCCCACCTGCAATACCCTAAGAGCCCAATAGGGGGTCCACAACTTCTGCAGTCCAAAAGTTGGGAAACACTGGATAAGACAATAACTACAGGGCTGTTATTGTAGCAAAATTATTTGCAAATGTGTACGGAGAGTTGTGCGACTGTATCTCAGTCCGTGTGCTTAATCAGATTTGTAAACGTAAAAGAATTTGTGAATACGTACTGAGATTTGCAAATGTGTACAGGAATCTGTAAATGTGTATTCAGAATATTTTGACTTTTTATCCATACATACCTCTGTACACATTTACAGATTTGTCCACACACATACAAATCTCAGTACACTTGCAAATCTCATTACCCATAAGAATCTGGTTACACACACACATATATAGATTCCTGTACACATTTGCAAATCTCAGTATGCATTTACAGATTCTTTCACACATTTACGAATCTGATTACGCACACGGATTGAGATACAGTCACACTGCTCCCCATACACATTTGCAACTAATTTTGCTACAATAACAGCCCCATAATAACTACATGGTCTTAAATATCACGGTATTACTTGATGAATATATGGAGTCCGGTTCGCTGACTTACAAAGTCCCTTCTGTCTTGCTCTATCTTTATCTCTATGATTCTACCCACCAGTCTGACAGCAAACTTGTTACACGATGAGGGAGCGAAGGCGATTGCAAAGGCTGTGCAATTCAACTGTGCCCTTACCTCACTTCAGTAAGTAACAACCAGCCCTCGAGTCGCACAAGGAACCTAATGCATGTATGACTGGTGCACGTCTGCCGTCCTTGTTAAGCGTCATGTTCAGGGCTGTCTCTCTTCCCTCCTGCAGCCTTCAGTGGAACTTCATCAGGTCTACAGCTGCACAAGCCCTGGCTGCGGCGCTGACGACCAACACGGCCCTGCAGCTCCTGGAGTCCGTATTCCTGAGATTCCCGTCTAAGCCGCTAAGCCGCTAGGCCGCTAAGCCGCACACTGGGTCCCCAGATCACGCTCACAACCCACCAGTTTCATTTCACTCTTTCCGCATTTATAGAACCCACAATGGGATTTTAATTAATCACAATCCACGATTTTATACGAAATTATGCTTAATTCAATATAAATGCTGCAGATTTATTGGATTTTTATAACACAGTCATTATTTTAGTCTTTTATTTATATATCATATTAGAGACAAGCAGTAGTTTAAAGTCAAACATTAATTTCAAGTAGAAATACATTGAAGCCCATTATAATTATAGTTCTACAAAAGCTGTTCTGAGCTAAAAAGTTCATTGATAAGCAGTGTCATTGTTTGCTGCTTAATTAGTAGCACCTTTGCAATAACATAAAACACCAAACATTTGTGCTTAGTATCCCATTGGGAGCCAATGACTATTATGGCAATTAAAAGTAAAATGCTATGAATAGTCAGTCAAAAGAAATTATGACACTAAATAAAAAGAAACAGTTTGTGGGAAAGATAAGTGCACGTATGTTAAACATCGCTTATCAATGCACTTTTGTTATGAAACCTGTAAATCTGCATCATTGTTACAGAATTAAGCAAGTGCCCCATGACTTTCTGTGAGCGCTGTATGTTTTCTATATCTGCATATATCACAGATGAATAGTTTGATGAGGGAGGGGCTGATTAACGCACTGCTCCCACAGATAAGAGCCATGCAGTTTAGCGGGGCTTTGGTGTCTCTTTGCTTCTTCGTGTGTGAGCGTGTCTGCTTGTGTCACGTTGCTACAGCCTTCAGGAGAATGCCATCGGTGACGAGGGGATGATCGCGCTTGCGGAAGCCCTACAGGCAAACACAGCTCTCGGGACACTGTTGTGAGTATGAGTCTGTCTATCCGTCTGTCCATCCATCCGTCCATCCGTCCATCTTCTAACAGCTTCTCCTAAGCCTGGCAGCATAGGGCACAAGGGAGCCCTTGGATGGGATGTGGACAGACACACTCACTCTCAGTTAAACAAATCGGCGAGATAGAGATGCCAGTTTGGACTGTCGCAGGAAACACACACAACAGTATGACTCCTGTAGACCTGTAAGGTCCTGTTGATATTTTTGTCTTTGCATAGTCGCAGTTAGGTGTTTAGTTTTTATCAGTCAGTGTCCCGGGTGGGGGGCATTACACGCTTGTTTCTATATGTGTTATCGCCCTCACCAGATAGATTGTGTGTGTGTGTGTGTGTGTGTGTGTGTGTGTTCTTGCCATCACCGGATAGCTTATGAGTTTGTATGTGTTCTTGCCATCATCGGATAGCTTATAAGTTTGTATGTGTTCTTGCCATCATCGGATAGCTTATGAGTGTGTGTGATCCCGCCAGTCTCCAGGGTGTGTCAGTAGGCAGAAGAGGAGCCGTTGCCTTGGCAGAAGCCCTTTGTTCCAACAGATCTCTGCATACCTTGGAGTAAGTCCATCTCTACTCACCCTCTTCCTCCTGCCTTTTTGCTGTCACAGGTTATATTATGTATAATGTAGGAATAAACTGAAAGCTGTTATAGTTTCTATAAACTATCACATTCTGTAAATATCTTGCCAAGGGTGATGTTTCCTAATTTTTTTAAGTCTAAGGACATACCACCATGAATCACCATTTTATCACTTTTTCATAAAACATTTTCACTCAAGGGAAAATTAATTATTAGTGTCTTACCATTTGTTTCACTGTTTTGTAATCATGTACAAAAATATATATTTTTTGTTTTATTTCAGTCTGCGTGGAAACTCGATAGGGATGGAAGGGGCTAAAGCTTTGGCAAACGCATTGAAGGCAAACAGCAGTCTGAGGGTCCTGAAGTGAGCTTTTATTTTCACTTTCTATCTCGTGATTATGTTGCACTTAGCCTTATATACTCATTCTGACTATCGCTGCTACTCTCAAACATAAATTACATCGCTGTCATAAATGCGCCACTCCCTTTTCCATTGCGAAAGATTTGAAGCTTATACTTACTGTCAGTTACGCAATATGACATTATTTAATGGAATAGGTTGGTAACCTGTAATAAAAAGTTATATGAGAAGTTAAGCATAGTAGTTACTCGACTTTGTCCAATTAGTTTGCAGGAAAATGCACTGGGAATGGATGGAGCCATTTTCATCGCCACAGCCCTAAACAGAAGCCATCAGCTCACCTACATCAAGTGAGTTTTAGGGCACTTATTCAGAAATGTGTTCAGTTAATCCTGTTCCTGTAGCGTATACTGGAGTATACATGTCATTTTCATCAAACAGGAAAACAAAAACTTGACATATTGTGATTTATCAAATACAGTGTCACTGTACTGTTACTTGAAAACTGAAGCAAGCCTCTACTGTCCATAATTATTCAACAGTTTCCCAGCAGCTAATATCCAGCTCTTACTTCCCATTTTAGCCTCCAAGGGAACCGCATTGGAGATTCAGGGGCTAAGGTCATATCGGACACCATCAAAACCAGATCCCCAGAGTGTGTGGTGAAGATCTGAACGGTTCTACAAATCAGCAGGAGCGATACGGCAGATCACGCTGCTCTAGGCAGTCCGGTTAGGGCTGACTGCGCAGTTAGAGGGGCTCAGACACTCGGGCAACAAGCCCAGGGTGAAGAGAAGTGGCTTTATGGCCTTTACAGAAGAGCTAAAAAAAAAAAACAGATTGAAGAATCTGTCTCGGGGAGACTGGGGGACTTTCATGGCGTCTCTCATTCTGCTACACTGTTGATGGACACAGTAATGTTAAGCTCCATTCTGGCTCCAAGTGCAGTATTTCAAATGATATCTGTAAATAGTGAATACGTAATTATTATAATGTAGTTACAAATCTGAGATATATTAGGTTAAACGCCAATTAACATTATGTTGGTCATTAAAGAGATCAGCCAATCCGCACTATGAAATGGGAGTCTGCAATGCAATATGAGACCATTAACTGGGATCTACAGAGGCCAACCTGACCACGTACATAACCTTAACAATTGTGGGTGAACTAAATCAACAGCCCTGTGATCCAGACTCAAGAAATACTGTGCATCCTGGTGAACCTCACAAATCTGGCATGTATGGCAGGCTGCCTTCCGGAAATTGCTTCTACACAAGATCAATGCACAAAGACGTGTAAATAGGGGTAACGAGCACAAAACCCCTGAGCAGGAGGATGTCAAATGTCTTCTTTGGCCTCCTACGACAGAGCTAGACATCTCTGAACTTTTATTGGATGTTCTAGAGTGCAAAGTAGACTTCTACCTTCTTCATGACTAAGAATTGGAGGCTCCTCTTCTTGAATAATGATCCAATATCCCACATACGCAGCTCAAAACAGGATTTGAGGCATCACTGTACCTCTTCTAAAGGCAAAGGCTGGACCTAGTCCTTGATGTTCATATATTTTTAGTTTTTTTTTAATGTTATTTTGTCCACCATCTGTAAATTTTCAACAAGGCTGTTCATGTGGCATTATTGTGCAAAGATCCAAGCCTTATTTATAGCATGTTCATGTAGAATCATTGCTCAGGATAACCTTCGGTTCCAGGTGTCACCGACTCATAATATAATCATAAGATCTTGAAGACATTAGCTTGGGAACAGAAAATAACATCTCAGTTGTACCACTGGTATATAATGCCGATGTCACTGACTGGGTGAACAGAGTAAGTGGCTCTCACATGCTGTACAGTGTAGGCATCATATTTGATGAAGATATTTCTTTCATGGTTGAAAATGTTTACACTTAAAATACAATTCATGAAACATTCACTTTTCCTTTCGATGAAAAAGTGAGTAGACAGAAGTTGATTATGTGTATGAAGATGAAAAATGAACTACGATAATGAAATGCTAAGCATAGATCTTCATACATTTTTGGTTGCCGAGGTATTGAATGTTTGCATCATTCTCAAGGCCATTTCATTTCACTGGAAAATGCAAACAATTCACAGATGACTATTTAAACATAATTACAGCATTGTTTTGGGAATAACATATGTACATTTATATTGTAAAAAAATATTTTATTACCCAAGTTTTTAAATGTTTTTTGCACATTTTACTAATAAATTATATTTTTGTCCCTAATCCCATTTGTTTCATTATTGGTTAATACTGGGAAAATGTGCCCTTTGCCATGTAAGGGGACCTTTTTGGAGGACTGCATACAATTCCAAAAAATTTAATCTGCTCCCACGTTTTCCACTAGCGACGTAGCTTTTCACAAATGATTTAAAAGAGAAACATGTCATCTTCAGCAGCTAGCTGCCTGGAATGAGATTCTCTGTTACAGAGTAGAAAACAGTTCAATTAATGAATTAATGCATGAAGTTTTCATGAGGCAAAACCTCTAAAACACCTGATTTTTTGTATGAGGTACTTATATGAAAGAGTGTTTGGTTTTCCACAGATAAAACAGGGCCTTATCAGTGATGAAGTTCATTCACAGTTCTAGAACCATCTTAAGGATGGTACAAGCTGAAATGAGCATTTGTGCTCTTCTCAATGACCGATTTTCACATTGCTACTTTCAGTTATCTAACAACTTTTTAACTAAAATCACACACTGACCTCAGCCAAGACAGCATGCAGCTGCTTCATATCACCCTTTGTAGTCTGTAAGGCATATTGTGATATTTTTTTGGATTTGTGATTTTGATCTTGGTGAATTTTGCTGAGGATGGACAGATACACAAATCACATCATATGATTTCCATAAAAAATTGAACACTCCCAGAAGCCTTCAACAATATTGTATTTTTAATACTTTTGACTGGACACTTATGAGCTCAAAGGTAAACACTGATAAGACTGATACTGGACACCGCCGGCACAGTTACTTACAAAGCAGAAACACCTGAACCTTAACTGGAGAGAAATCTCATTTCACACCTGGGGCCTTTATGAAGCAAACTCGAGGGAAGAACATCAACTTAAAATGCAGAACCAGTATCTCATTACAGCAGAAATTGCCTCTTTTCATGGATATTAACAAGATTCAGCACACATAGTGAATGAGCTTCCAACACAAAAATAATCTATGTGCATCTCTGCTTGTATACATCAAAGGTCTGTGATTAAAAACTGCCTGACTTTTGTTGAAGGATATTACAGTAGGAAAACTGAATATCGAATTTGAAGTTGAACTTTACTGCGGTCACAGGATTTCCATGGACAAACCATTTTGAGAGCTTGAAAAGACTCATTTTTTAGGTTCTCTTTGATTGGTCCAACCACCGTTTGTGATCCAAAAGCCTGAACATTACCTGCTCTGGGTCAGGTTAGGCATGTAGCACAAGTTAACATGTTGATGGCACTAAGTAAACGAAGTAAACCAGTGTTACCTCTAACTAACCACAATGTTTTCACCCAGGCGGCCCGGGTTCGACTCCCGGTATGGGAATTGCGGTTATTGGTGTCTGCAGCCTTATATATGATCGTGTCCCTGTGCAAAGGCAACGAAAATCCTCTTCCTGAGGAATCTGACGATCTTGCTGGAAATACTGACGAGTTATTAGATACAACTCAGGTGGACATCTCAGTTGACTGTCATCCTACACGTACTTTTGCCACACTTTTTTGTCACTATTTTTATTACATTTTTAATATTTTTAAACCAAGCCAGTGAAAAATCTCAGCACCGATTCCCTCCAGTTGTAGGTTGTGTTGCCGTGCCACGTTACCCCTGAATAACACTGTCCCCGACAATTCAGATCAGACACACAAAATTAAATTATTTACTTGACAAAATGCATTTTCTCCATAGAATGACTTTCTTTTCTTCACGAAATGCATTTTGTACACAAACAAATACGAAGAATATCTTACCCGTGGTCAAACAGCCAAAAAAAAACAATAATACGAGAGATTTTGCTCAAATGTAGCAGTTTTTCGGCCATAAATGTGAGCAGTGTCTAGGATGCTGGATGCGAAGCCAAAATCGTCAGAGATGCGAAGGGAATGTACGTGCCGCCGTGACCTTCAATCATACAAGCGCTCTGCGGGTGGGCGGGTCCTTGTCGCACTGGCCAACCACACGGGACCAGTCACCCGGCTTGGCCAATCGGTCGGGACCGCTGTGAAACATTTCGTTGAAACACTTCTTCAACTGGCCAATAGGGGGCTGAAACATTTGTTGCACTAAAACCGAAAGTAGGCAGGCAAGAGGTACAAAGATGCCAGACAGATTCGAGAAGCATCCCGTGTTTTCAGACTGTAGCATTTACTCTGAGTTGATTTTGTATCCGCCATTCTCATAAGCATTATTGCTACCTGAAAAGATGACATTCCTTGTGACATTATTTGATACAGAGGGGAAGAAGCTGTTTTTTGGAAATACTTGAAAATCACATGAAGTGTGGAATTGACACAAGAATGACCTGGATGCTAATGCCTTTCAAGCCTTTGCTCTTTGGGTCTCGAGGGGTACACACCGTCGCATGGGCCAGTGGCGCAATGGATAACGCGTCTGACTACGGATCAGAAGATTCTAGGTTCGACTCCTGGCTGGCTCGGCAATGGCTTTCTTTTACTCTGGTGCCGCCTGCATTAGCCACTCGATTCGACTCACCCAATCACCTCCACGCACCAACCGCACAAAAGGAAAACACACAAGACAACCAGACCCGCTACCCATAAGGACTAGCGGTTTGCACCCAGACGGCCCACCCACAACGCCCAGGATCGAAACCCCAGATCGGAAAGGCAGCACCCCAAGACCAAAGCCTGGCACCGAACTAAAGCAAGAAAAAAAAGCAAAAAAAAAACTCTAACTGAGAAGCAGAATGTAGCGCAAGCAGCTAACTCAATGTGCCAAGAATAAGAACCTGGAAACAGAAAATGCACACTCCAAAGGCAGCCAAGCAAGGCCCTCAACCCATGGGTGCTGCTATGGGTGGCTGCCCTTTGCAGACAACATACTCTACAAAAAAAGAGCAAGTTGAGGGAGGCATAAAGACAATTTCCCCATGGGGATCAATAAAGTGTCAATTATTATTATTATTAAATCCTGCTTCATGATACTGGCCCCAGGTTAAGCATGCAGTGAAATTACCATGGCAGTATACCCCCTTTAAAAGTGAGCTACGATTCGTATAACCAAAGCTCATGGGTAAGACTCAAGAAACCTTGCTAAACCAGCCTACCAGCCAGGGTCTCTGGAGGATGACGGCCCAGAAGGGGGCGCTGCCTCCCACCTGCAGGACTGCTGGGTCATGACGGCCCTGAAGGGTTCGGTTACAGCGGCTACTCCGCAAATCTTTTAAGATTCAAAAGATCCGAAACTCACCGAGTGACCGAATCTGTTTGTACCGAAAATCTACTTAGGAGCTAAGAGCTAATAGAGCCCCTGGCAGCAGCGTTTGCTGATGATTTTTGTCAGACAAAACAAACTACATACTGAAGGCTGTGTATTCTGCATGTTAATAGACGAAAGATACAATAGATGTGGCTTCAGTATTGTTTTATCATTTTTTAGTTTTTCTCAGTTGGTTTGGCACATTTCAACAGACATTCAATAAACAATCATTTTCGGTATATCCTTTAATTACAGCATTTTTAGACGATATGTTTGCAAATTTTGTAAGGTTTTATCAGTCTTGGAGCTGACTGTTCATTTATATTTAAAAAGTTAAAGCCTGTTTATGTGCTTGTTTTTAATTATAATTAGACCATTTTAATAGAATAGGTTCTGTAAATTGAACTGAGCTTTTCATCACTAACTCACAGCATACACATTTCAGGTCCAGAAAGTATAAATCCAGACCAAGGTTTTCTTACAACCAACCTGTTGAGCATAAAGTGTCACAGTCATAGAGTGCTCATATGGTCAGTTGTAACAAAACCTTGGTCTGGATTTGTACTTTCTGGACCTAAACTTTCCACTTCTGGTTTTCGTACAGGATTTATGGACACAACTGTTGAAATCTGACTGACCACCTGTCGCCGGACCAAACCACTTGTCGATGCAGCGTCGCAATAAAAGCTGCATGAAACCAGGAGATTATTTTTGAGATATTCCAGGGAATTCTGCGAGTCCCGTAATGTTTGAATATTAACGAATTAATGATAATATAGCTGGTCTTACTGGAGGCTCGTTGTAGTTTGGCCATGCAGTACGGGGTTAATGACGACAGGCGGCCGCAGTGCGCAGGCGCGGGGAAGCGGAAGCGGCTTGAGCGCGATTCTCCTTGGATGGGTCACGGAGAAGCCTAGTGCTCTGAGAATATTATACAAACGCATGTAGCTTATTGCTACTTAAAGTCTATTTTTTTAAATCGAGCATTTCGAGGAGGGGACTTTTGGAAGCATGAAACGAGATGTCAGGATTTTGCTTTTGGGGGAGCGTAAGTGCGATGCTTTTGCGCGCGTCTTAACCTGAAACTTTTTTGCGCTAGACAATAAGCCAACAAGGTGTTTAAAATAAAATTCAACAGGAAATGCAGTAGGAATTGAGTGCGCGCAGAAGTATTAAAGCTAACGGGGCACTGGTCAGTGAATAAGCGGATATGAACCGCAGCCGGCCTTATAATGCACTGGATGCTTTTCTAGCTTGCTAATAACGATGTTGTTGTGCCGGGGCCGTGTGTATACATACATAATACATAACTTTTTTTTTTGTTTTTAGATGATGAACAATACTGTAAAGATTTTACGAAATCAAAAACCCGTTTGAACACTTTTAAAATAACTACTCACGCACTGGTGTTTTGTACTGAACAACTGAAAGACAGCTAGCTTTAGTTAAAACGCCGTCTAGAGCGGCGTGCAAAGCCCGTGTCACCATAACGACTTAATAAAGCGCTGGTATTGGCAGCTATATTAACTGTCATGTTGGCTACGTAGAAAGCTCGGCCATGCTTTATATAAAGCTGTGTAATACCTGTTAGTCTGTTCATATCATTTTCACCATTGGTTTTAACCTTTTATTTCCTTCAGCCAAGGTTGGGAAGACGTCCCTAATTCTGTCTCTGGTTGGGGAGGAGTTTCCCGATGAGGTCTGTAGCCCTGCGTCCATAATGTGCAGTTTAATGATTGAAGCTTCTCTCGTCATGTTTTACCTTTTTTCACAATTCTTTAAA